CGAGAGAACCAGTCACATAATAGCACCATATCCCCGAAGTACTGGATGAGAGTTGTCCAATTTAAGTTGTTCCCCTAAAATTTTATTGTACTGTAGGAAATGTGCATAGCATAGTTTACCCAAATTAATGATTCCTCACAAATCAGAGACCTAACAGTTTTCTTGATCATACAAAGAACAGTTTCAGGCAGAGGCAGAGAGTATTTGTGACGTATTACAAGTTTTCAAAGTCAAAGACCGTGATCTTTATTCAGAAACAGACTAATAGATCACAGACCAAAATACCGCCCACTGGAAGCTGTATGTATCAATTGGAAATCCTCAGTTACCTTTAAATTTCATGATGCCAACATGCAATTATTCAACTCTTTAGACCCCACCCATACTGATACTGATACGGGAACCCTAAGAATGAATTGACGCAGTTGCGAACAAACATATTCATGTTCTTTAAATTTCAAGAAATATTCATAAGGAGACATGAATATGTTTATTCGCAACTGCCGCCATATTGAATCACTTGTTGGTATCTTCAACCCTAGCAATGCATTGATGCAGTAGATATTCATAAGGAGAGAGAGAACTGATAGGAAGATGAATTGATGAGGACGACTCTCGGAAGCGGTGTTTTATATGGGAATAACTACCACGCGTTTAAAAAAAAAAAAAAAAACTTGGAAATAAATACACGTCATGTTTGTTTAGTAAAGGTTAGTAGAGATTTCTCATCTTATTAGTAAGTTAATTTAAGATTTTAGTAGTGCATTGACAAGGTCTTTTCATTCTGGGTGCAATTTATGAATTTGTTTGCCAAAATCAATTTTGGTGCGAATTATTGAACTGAATCGAAATTATCATATCAAAGTTGGATTTAATCCACAAATTCACCACTAAACTTTCTTTTTTCACGCATATATTGGTGGTATGGACCCACCCCTTGGCTAATTACGAGGGGAGTGATCCAGATGGTGGAGAATCTACGGAAGAGAAAGATTACTAGAGTTAATTTGTGTTACATGCGAAAAGATTCAGTAGAAGATGTGAACTTATTCTGCCTCTCTCTCGTCATTACATATATAAACTTTTCTGCTTCTTCTTCATAAAATTTGCCATAAGAACAATCAACATATTCAGTAGCAATGTGAACTCTCTTGCTGGTTTATTTAGCATCGGCTCTCTTGAACTCAAAGAATAAAGATAAACCACTTTACTAATGCTGCAGCATAAAGAAAACTACAAAATGGGGGCCTGTTAACAACCCCAGCCAAACCCTGAAAAACAAACTACAAAAGGAGCGATAATAATTTTAATCTCAATTTATGAACAAGAGTCTAATCACATAGGAAAATACTAGTGCATTTGACAGCCACAGCTCACAGCTCACCTACAAATGGAGCAGCCATGGTGTGAGGACAGAGCAAGTGTGAAAATTTGGACATTCTTTTACATCTCTTTGCTGCCATACAAAGGTAGCACTTGTCACAACCCGTTCTCTAAACAAAGCCGTGACCGGCACCAGTGCAATACTTGACCCAGCGAACCGGCTTGACTATTCTAACTTGTACGTTCATATCACATGCCCCACATGCATATAAAAATAAATAACTAATCTCTTTGTTAGAACCTTCAATTCAACAGTTCTTAAAATAATTCAAATAAAAATTGAAATCTATAAATACTAAAATGTGCTTAAAATAATCCAAAGTAAAGTGATCAACCATAACCCAACTAAAAATATGTCTAGACTGGAGTGCTAAGAGGAAAGCACAAGACAGAGATTTCCTGGCTAATCTCCAATACAAATACCGGATAAATGAATAAAATTGTCTAACTGAAAGAGAAGAAGCTCCACGGTCAATGACAGAGCTCACCAAATAAACTTTTAGAATAAAGCAACCTATCTCGTAATCTGCTCGTCTATGACACCTGCGTCTACATTGACATAGGTCAATGTAGGTTTCACAAAGAGAATGTCAGTACACCACTAATGGTACTCAGTGAGTCTCAACATTCTCCTCACTAAAGTCGCTAGGAGACCTCGAATAAAAAAATGAGGGTAATGAAGGGATAAGAGAGGAAACACGCCACAATTCATTCTAAAGTATTATACAACCATGAGGCAGGAAACAATCACCTAAAACTTATAGCTTAGTTCATTCTTTTCATTTTCTAAGTTGTTTCAGTCAATTGAACGTTTATTAATTACGCCCAGCTCTGGCAATTAGTAACTCTTTGTACAGTTACCATTTATGATATGCCTCGTTAAAACAAGATTAGTAACCCTTTATATGGTTACCATTTATCAGAGTTCGCATTAAGGTTTCAACATTTTAACTTTATCATAATCATAGCAGCTACACATTTTCTACAGTTATATTAAAACACTTTAAAATTTAAAATCACTGAAGCACTATTTAACATTAGCTAGATGACAACACTGGAAAAAGGCCATTTATTCTTGCAAGCCTAACTTTTCTCGACTCTGGCAAATACACGTCACACTGGACTGGAGACAATGGTGCTACCTGGAACGATTTGGCATATCCCATTCCTTCTATCTTAAACTTTGAATTGTTTAGAACTCCAATGGTTGGAGCTGATATATGTGGTTTTCAAGGAACACTACTGACGAGCTTTGCCGTATCCAAAATCAAGAATCACATTAGTCTAGAGAAGTGGGACATTATGGCTTGGTCACATGGACAGACTCACGATAAGTAAATGGGAGCTTACTCATTCCAATTAAACACACATTAACCTTAACAAACAATTAATCAAACACTTCATAGACATGACTTCGTAAGGAAAACTTTAATAAGAACAAGTACTCTCACCTTCTTCTTTTTCCTTATATGACGAGATGAATCAATAATGCAATCAAGGCGCCTGCACATTCACAATTTATGTAAAATACTTATCAATCACTAATATTGTTTCACATCGATAATTGAGAAAGAAATAGCTTCGAAGTATAACATAAACTTTATGAAATTTAAAATGTGACATAGTATCTTATCCCAAAGCTCATAAGAAAACATAGTACTTTTAATGACTTTGTTTTTGCATTACGTGAAGTGTCCCAGTAGTCTGCTGATGCATTAGAAAAATTTACTGAAATCTGAACCATTGTACAATTAACATGGAATACAATCAGCAAACATATCAAACGCCCACCAAAATTGCATGGACATTCTTCTTTTACTGGGTTTTATTTCAGAAGTTCATTAATACTTCAAAACGGATAAAAAAAAGAAAAAAAAAAGAACTTCAGTACAAAATAAAACTATTTTGTTGATTTATTGTTCACATACATCGGTGCTTGACTTTTAGTTGTTTTCAAATTTACCATATAAAGAAATCCCCTATCAACAAAAATGCTAGAAAGGAACTGTAAATAACTTGAAAATGAAGTATTAACTATTCATGCCTATTGTTTTTTTCAATAAAAAGCAAAAGAAAAGAGCAACTCCCAACCACATTCTGAAAAGGGAGGCTTGTTTGTCAGAAAATAAGGCACGCGACGAAAAGGGAAAGATCTCTAAAAGCTATCAGCTTGACGAACCTTGTATTGCACACATCCACTTATGTTAATTCTCTGAAATCTGTATATCGGCATTGCAAGGTTTCTTGTTAACGGGAGTGATGATGTTGCAACCAAAGATCCTCAACTAGCTCCTGATAATAACAAATTCAAATCTCCCCAAATCAGGCTGCTAAGAGGCTGAGCGATGACATCTTCCAGCAGTAGCGATAAATATAGACGTGTAGCAAAGAGAAACATCATTCTTAAATATAAAAGTAACCATTTGCAGAACTATAGAAAGTACTAGATATTACAATAAGGTTGTTCCAATTTTACAACTATATTTAAGAGAACATCATTTCTTAGATTTTTTTCTGCAGAATTTACTTTCCTATTCTAAATTATAAACTCATCATAAGGTTTAAAATTTAGTATAATGCACAAAATATCAAGTATTCAATAGCTTAAATTGTCTCTCTCCACCCTCTCCTTTATTTCTATTAAACTGTTCCAAGGTTTGCTTCCATGTGTTTGTCAACTATACTTGTTGAGAGTTGAAATAACAAAGATTTAGAAAGGCATAAAACAAAGGTACTTCATTAGCTTCTTCGTTCGTTTCTCCTCCTACCTTGCTACATGTCTAGGTTCATCGCTGCTGCTAGAAAATGTCGTCGCTCTACAAGAATGATGAACCTTCATCCGTACGCTCAACCTTCCACCTCTAAGCAGTCTGGTCTGAGGATGGTTCACTGGGAGTTTTGAATTTGTTATTATCAGGAGATGGTTAAGTTTCTTTGGTCAAAGATAACATAATTGGATCCGTACTATACAAGTTTTAACTCCCAGCCCTGCTTGACGAACCATGCATTGCACACATCCAATTATGTTATTTCTATGAAATTTATACATCAACATTGCTTGGCAAGGTTTCATTTTAAAAATAGTGACGATGCTGCAGCCAAAGAAATTCAACTAGCTCCTAATAATAACAAATCCAAATCTCCCATAAGTCATTCCCAGATCAGGCTGCTAAGAGGCTGAAGGTTGAGCGTACGGATGAAGGTCCATCACATTCTTGTAGAGCGACAACATCTTCTAGTAGCACCAACGATGAACCTGGACGTGTAGCAAGAAGGGAGGAGAGATGAACAAAGAAGCTTATGAAGTATCTCTGTTTTATACCTTTCTAGATCCTTGCTATTTCAACTCTCAACAAGTATAGTTGACAAACACACGCAAGCAGCCTAAAACAGTTAAACAAAAACAAAGGGAAAGGTGGGGGGAGATAGTTTAAGTTATTGAATATTTGATATTTTATGCATTTGACTAAATTTTAAACTTTATGATAGAGTTTAAGATTTAGAATAGGAAAGTAATATTGCAGAAAAGAATCTAAGAAATGATGTTCTTTTTAATACAGTTTTAAAATTGGACCAACCTCATTGTATTATTAAGAGAAAAACATTTTGTACTTTAAAACAGTCCTTCAACTGATTACTTTTATATCTAAAAAATGAAATGCTTCTACGGATGAAGGTCCATCACATTCTTGTAGAGCAACAACATCTTCCAACAACAAATGAACCTGGACATATAGCGAGAGACTTTAAGATTACAGTTGACCATCCTATTCCCTCTTCTCTGCCCCGTCCAGTTAATTGGGGGTCCAATGTATGCCAGTATGTCTTCATGATTCAAACAGAGCAAATCTTTAAAGGAGTTATCTAGTTCCTACAATTGACAAAATGTTTACCTACTTCTATAATTGACATCATAACTGAAGCTGATGCATTATTCATATTCAGAAATTTATGACAAAGCAATTCATTCAGAGTATAAGGAAAATCAGGCATCAAATTTATCTAACAAACAACCCTTCCCCTAAAAAGTTCTTATTGTATCAAGATAAAATCAATCTAATATAATAGCGCACAAAAAGAGGCAAAACACACACATTTACTAGATTAAGAACAAAAAGTTTCTATTTGGAGGCAAAAAGCATCCTGATATATAAGGAAAACCAGGCATCAAATTTATCTAACAAACAACCCTTCCCCTAAAAAGTTCTTATTGTATCAAGATAAAATCAATCTAATATAATAGCGCACAAAAAGAGGCAAAACACACACATTTACTAGATTAAGAACAAAAAGTTTCTATTTGGAGGCAAAAAGCATCCTGATATATAAGGAAAACCAGGCATCAAATTTATCTAACAAACAACCCTTCCCCTAAAAAGTTCTTACTGTTAATCAAGATAAAATCAATCTAATATATTAGGGCACAAAAAGAGGCAAAAACACACATTTACTAGATTAAGAACAAAAAGCTTCAATTTAGAGACAAAAATGCATCTTGATACATAAGGAAAACCAGGCATCAAATTTATCTAACAAACAACCCTTCCCCTAAAAAGTTCTTACTGTTATCAAAATAAAATCAATCTAATATATTAGGGCACAAAAAGAGGCAAAAACACACATTTACTAGATTAAGAACAAAAAGCTTCAATTTAGAGACAAAAATGCATCTTGATACATAAGGAAAACCAGGCATCAAATTTATCTAACAAACAACCCTTCCCCTAAAAAGTTCTTACTGTTATCAAGATAAAATCAATCTAAAATAATAGGGCACAAAAACACACAGATAAAACTAGTATTTTATATTTCAAGAACGTGAGAAAGATAAAAAATGAATCTTTACATCAAGAAGACTGATGAGCTCTTCAGTAGAATGAGGAATGTTGATGAGGCTATTCCCACAATCTTTTAGCCCATCTTCAATTTCTTTCTGGGAAGGAGCATTCACTCTCGGTCTCAAAACCTCAAGAAACTTGTATAAAAATTTGCCCTTTCAAGAACCCTAAAAATAAATAACATCCTAGGAAGAAAATGCAACCTCAGACACAACAAATGCTGATTATATACAAATGGGTTTTGTGTTTGGGAGCAAATTTAGGGACAAAATTGGCATACATAAACCACTCACGTTAATTGCATTTTTTTCTCAAATTTTGAGTTTGAAATTCACAACTTTTTTCAGGGTGTTTGTGCTTTTCTCGTGTACTGTTTGCTTAATTTGGCATTTCCACTCTACGTGGCTCTGTAAAAGTGCAAAAAGACACCAAATTTTTTGTTTCAAGAAGTTCAAGAAAAGACCTTTTTAAGACACAGAAAAAGAGAGACACTTTATTTATTGGACTGTTCTGTCCTTCGAACAGTGAACTTAATTACTTGAATGGTGGTCTTTTTCTATTTTAAAAATGTCTAAAATTGGAAAAAAATTACTTTTATTGCATACACACTTTTAGCGGCAAAACAAACTTTGATTTCTTTGTATTTTGTTGTCTCTTTTTTTTTATTGGAAAAAAATGTTTTGACTATTAAATTGGAAAGGAAAAATCCTTTTTGTCCAAAAAAATTTGGTCAGAATGGTAAAATAACATATTTCACACTATGTTATTTTACCTTTTTGAACATTTTTACCCTTTTAACTTTAATACCTTTTAATTAGAAAAAAATTAGTTTATTTTAAAATAAAAAAGATATTATAAACTTTTTAAATTTCTGGTCATTTAGCATTACACAATTGGATAAACTTTTACTCTCATTGCATACACATTTGACTAGCTCATTAATAATGAAAGGTAAAAAAATCAACACAGTTTAATGGCATATTAAGTGTGACAATTTATTATTATAGAAATTTATTATTTTCTAAATAAAATAATTTCGATGGAAGTTATTATTATAGAAAAATTATTCTTCTAAATAAAACAATTTCAATGGAATTTAAAATAAATTGTAAATTGTATTAACTGTGTTTTTCATTCAATGTCTGATATTTTATATTAAATTCTCGATTAGCTTGGATTCGCAAAATGAAGCATTTCCTATTAAGAGTTTTTTCGAATTCAAGACATCTGATTAACAATTGATGAATCATATACATCACATTCTTTATACTAATATTGACTAAATTTATTGAGATAATCCTATTATTTAATTTTTCTATAAATGGTGTGAGTAGGGGTGTCTTTTTTTTTTTAAGTTAATTTTTGGCTTTTATAGATACCATAAGAAGTACAAAAAGGGGAGAAAAAATCCTAATACCTACTTAGAGTGGGACAACCCCCAATCTATATACCAATGTAGGATTTCTATGTAAGCTCTAAAAAAAAAAATAACTAAATGAGGTATAAACCTCAGCACAAAAGTTCCTTAAGGAACATCAAAAGTGAAAATTCTATACAAGTCTCTATCTAGGGAGAAAGAGTTCTTTTTGGTAATCGTTCTGAGGGAAGGAACACTTATTCTAGTCAAAATCAGTTCTCCTCTTGCTTGACTTAGCAATTGATGATGATGAGTGATCCATGTTATGTTAGCGCACTGGAGACCCCAATTGGCGAGGCAATCAACCACCTTGTTTCCTTCCCTATCGCAATGTTGAAGGCTCCAATTGTCCAGTCATTGAAGGAGATTCCTGATGGTGATAATTTTCTCCCATAGGATCCATGAAGTATCTTGAAGGTTGAGATACAATCCACTAGAAGTTTAGAATCAACCTCCACCTCCAGGTTCCTAATTCCATTTGACACACCAGTGAATACCTGTTTCTAGAGCTAGTGTCTCTGCCATGTTGTGGTTGGTGCTTCCATAAGCCTCTGCGAAAGCAATTTTCATCCTACCTTGATTGTCTCTAATTATACCGCCTCCTACACTTAGTCCTGGATTTCCTTTGGAGCAACCATCTGTGTTGAGCTTGTAGAGGTCTAGTTTTGGTCTTAACCATAGAACTAGAACATGACTGATCTTGTCCCTAGCCATTTCGACGATGTTGTAAAACTTCTCCCAATCCATGAATGGATTAATGCTTTGGAACTGTTTGTGGGCTATAGTAATTATTTGACTATTAATATTGTATGTGATGCTCTTGAAGTTCATCTTTATGCCTTCATATCTATGCTTGCATCTTGCTTTCCACACTTGCCAAATTATAATACTAGGAAGGATTTGAAGAACGAAATTTTGGACCGGATTCTTCTCCATTGAAATCCATCAGTTTATCAATAGTTTTATCAAATAATTACGATTATGGGTGATCTCAAATAGTTTGTTATAATGTCTCCAAACTTGTTGTGTAATCTGACCTTTGTAGAATAAGTGTTCAACTGTTTCTTCTTCATAAATCCTGTAACAACAAGAACATCTAGAAGGTAGGTGGACCTTAAATCTAGTGAGATTTAGATCCACAGCCACTTTGTTACGCAACACTTTCCATAAAAAGAAACAGATTTTAAAAGGGTTCTTATTATGCCAAATCATTTTATTAGTAAGATTGACATTGCCTTTTTTCCTAATAAGATCCCAAGCAGATTTACTAATAAATTTTCCATTCGAGTTAGCCTTCAAGAAAGGAGTATCATCTAGATTAGAAGATTTAATAATAATTCCTTGGATCAAATTAACTAAGTGAACAGAAAGATGTTGATTGAGCTTATAAGTATTCCACCTACCATGATGAATAAAATCAGAGACGGGAATTTTAATAGAGGTAAATGCTTTAATAAATTGAGAAAGTCTACCAATACATGTCCAGTTGTCCCACCAGAAGCTTGAATTTCCTTTATTCAATCTCTATTGGATTAGGTGATCTACTTCTTCCTTGATCATCATCATTCTTCTCCAACATTTTGAGTATTTGTAACTCACTTTCCTAGCCATTGGATGGATTCTCTTTGAATATTTAGCTTTCATAAATCTGGTCCAAATGGTGTCCTTGTTTCTGAATTGCCACCATATCTTGGCTCCCAGGCTTTCAGAGATGTCCATAGTAGATCTAATGCCAATGTCTCCTTCCTTTTTTGGATAGTATAACTTGTCCCAGGCTACCCAATGGTATTTTTGCTTTCCTTCTTTGCTTCCCCGTAAGAAGTTGGCAAAAATCTTCTTTATTTGATACATGATTGTTTTTGTGGGCTGACACATTGAGAGAAGATAAATAGGCATAGTATTCAAAGCATGCTTAATAAGAATAATCTTACCCCCTGTTGAGAGTCTATTGCATTGCCAAGAACTAATCTTTTTAATGATCTTTGTGGCCATGTCTGCAAAATATTCATTTTTCTTTTTCCCAATAAATAGTGGACATCCTAGGTAGGTGATTGGGAATTCTTCCTTTTTGACTTGAAGAATTCTGGAAACAATGTTGATCCTTTTAGTAGAGATATCTTTATCCATTATGAAGCAACTCTTCCCTTTATTCATCTGTTGTCCAGAGCATTCTTCATAGTTCCTCAGGCAATCTACAACGAGCTTCAATGTTTTGGTTTTACCTGAACAAAAAATAATTAAATCATCAGCATTAGCTAAGTGGTTGATCCTTGGTCCGATGGTAGCCATGCTAAATCCATTGAAGGAAGGATTTTCATATAAGTTATTCAACATTAGAGAAAGAGATTCAGCAGCAATAATGAAAAGAGAAGGTGAAATTGGATCGCCCTGTTTAACTCCTTTTTTGGATTGGAAAAAAACCACGTCTCTTGCCATTAACTGTGATGGTATACCAATTATTGGAAAGGAG